CTCCCTCCCTCCCTCCCTCCCCTACCCGTTCATTCAGGATGCATTCCTCCACCATCTATCTGCTGACCTCTACCTACCAGAACATGCACCCACTTTCCCATTACCTGTCCCCCTACCCATCTATCCACCTGACTCTACCCACCTACCACCTTACCTACTCCATCTACTTCCTCTATCCCCTCACCCATTCAACCCACCACCCAACCACCTACCACCTGGCAGACACCAGAGATATGCTGGTGGTATTATCTACAAGGCCTCTAGACACAAGTTGTGCCCCATCCTGTGAAAGAATTTGGTTCTGAAAAAAGCCAAGAAAAGAGAAATGATCCCATGAAGTAGGGTGAGGGCGAGCCCAGAGGGGAACCCCAACATGTCTGATGGAGGGCAAGTCCAAGTGGGGAGGAACAAAAAATAATCCTAGCAGAGGCAACTTGCCCCTGAAGATGAGGAGGCTGGAGGACAGGCAAGTGTGAGAAGCTGAGAGAAAGCTCAGAGGTACCAGGGGTAGGAGGAGCAGACCAAGCTGAAACCATACTTAGGAGCCAGTATGCCACGCTCACGACAGAGAGAGCTTGTGGTGATGTCTGAGTACACACATTGTGGTCAAATATCCACATAGTGAGGTCTGGAACCAAGGCCATCTTGGAGCAAGGACCCTACAAAGCCACAAAACCTGATATTCACACTCGGCAATGTTACCCCCAAGCACTGAGCAAAGCTTGGGTAACACATAAGCCAGACAGATGGTGAACAGCACAGAGCCATGAGATGCTTACTCATGGGGACGCAAGATGAGAAATCGCTAATCATAAAACAAGTGAGCAAACTGAAGCAGCCTGTCACCAACGTGACTCACTGACCAGGCTCAAGTCAGAGACACAGGAAAGCTGGCCATTTCCTGTAAAAGGGCTCTCCACGTGGGAATGAGAAGAAGGTTTTTTGAACCTGGGACCTTGCTGTTGAGGCAGGAGCTTTTCTGATTTCTGCATGGCTCTGGAACCACCACCCAAGGGCTTTGAGCGTAACTGCTTGCTCTCCACTTCAGGAAATGGGAGGTCCATGCTGGCAGATGTGGGGATGCTGTAGGAATGCTGTGGGGAGACACGACCAGAGATGCTGCCTCCTCCAAGCGATGGATGGCCAGTGCGCACCTGCCGCAGGGGTGCTATGAGAGGAGTTTCCTGCTAACACAGGCTCTTTCCTTGGGAAAAGCCCTTCCCATCTGCGTAGGAACATCTCAGACCCTTTCTGATGCTATGTCAGTCAGCGGTTTCCTGTCTGCCTGTGAAATCTGGAGCTATTAAAATCTACATACTGATGACAGTTTCCAGAGGCAGCACTGAATTGAAGGTTCACAGCACATGCAACCATCCCTTGCTATATAACCAGAGAGCCTCAGCCACCCAAATGCTAAGGGATATACAGAGTAAACCATGTCCCTTCTAGAGCTCGGTTCCAATTTTATGTATTGGGGAGGAAAAAAAAACAACAATCCAGGGATGATCTGGTTTCAAGAGGGTATCAGAGAGGAGGAGAAAGGAAGCCCACAAAGGGGAAAGCGATTCATACACACTAGACTGGTCTGATGCCCAGGGGTCATCTGTGCAGCTGCCCGGTCGCTGGCAAGGAAAGCAGAGCTGGGCGACTGTGGTGTGCTTGCTCACACAGGGTCCCATAACACAATGCTCATGTTCGCAGGGGTCACTTCTTCCAGGCCCACTTAGGAAGCCCACCAGACACAGCCGACTCCAAGAGCAGGATCGTCAGCCATGCAAGTGGCTGTTCCCCCGACACAGAAGATGAATAGGTGGCCATGCTGCGCTGCAGAGCCCCGGGGCAAAGGTTCTTTCTCATTATCCCCTCTGTTTTTTCCATCATGGTGCTCCCTACGGCTCATATCTAAGTCCACACAGAGGGGACCTAAAGATCTCACAGCACACTGCCCTGCACCCACCCCATCAGGATCCAGCAATGAGCCTTAAATCCTTGAGACCCTCATATATATCTTCTCCTAAGGGCAGCTAAGTGTTCTGGGCCTTGGTAGTCTTGAGGAAGAGTGATATAATTTTTCTTAAATTATTTTATTTCATGTATATAGGTGTTTTCCCTGCATGAGTGTCTGTATATCACAAACCCAAGGAGGTCAGAGGAAGGTGCTGGATCCCCTAAAACGGGAGTTAGAGATAGCTGTAAGCCACCCTGTGGATGCTGGAACTTGACTGAACCAGAGTAGTCTGGAAGAAGAGCTCTGTCGTCAGGCTCTCTCTTGGCTGCTTCAGTTTAAATGCCTGGAGCTGCCAGGGAACAATCTCCAGCAGCAGATTTGGCTGGTCTGTCTTGGAGCAGGGCAGCTGACGGCCCATGATCTCTGTAATTCCCAGGGCACCACATTCCCTGGAAAAGCATTCATTCTTACTTTAGTTGGGTGTACTTCCTGTTCCTAGCCTGGGTTCTTGATTTTATACACTCAGCATGAGTTGAGAAGGAAAGATGAAGGAACTGGGTGGGTTGTGGGAGACTCCAGCTTTAGGTACAACGTGTAACTAAGTGATGCCCCTTGGCAGCTTTCATCTTAGGGGTGGGCTTTTCCTTGGCTATCTGACTCCATCAGTTTGGTGGAATTTATAGGTACCACACTCTGAAGGATTAGAAGCCACTCTGAGGGCAGTGTTTCCAAACTTCCAGTAGTGATTCTCCGGGTTTCCAGAAAAGACAAGCTGCCAGCCAGACTGAAGGATACAGTGGACAGCAATCACAGCCAGGGTAGGATCTAGATGCAGTGCACATCTTTCAAATTCTAACAGTCCATGCAAAGCATGCCCAGTACTGACCTGCTGCTGAACACGCTGTAAGGGGACATTTCCCCAAGCTGGCCCTGAGACTGTGGTGTGTACCAGTGTGGGAACCACTGTGTTTTAGGAAACACAGAGTAGAAGTTTGCCATCACTGCCTTCTCCTGGGCCTCTGCCTTGTCCTTTCCTCTTACAAAGCAAGGAGAATTAGGGTCTGTCTGTATCACCCAAGGCCAGGTCAGCTCTCAAGCTTTGAGAAAAACTAGGAGGGGTAGCAAAAGGGAAGGGCGGGGCTACAGCTAAACTAACACAGGACAGCAATATTCTTCTGGAGACACACCAGCCTCCCCAACAGGAAACTGAATAGTTTCCTTCCATGTATTCCATGGGGACAGAAGCAATATGGTGCAGCCTAGGCTAAGTACAGAGCAGAAAGAAGATAAGCCACCAGACAGATTTTACTTGTCCTTGGTCACCAAGGACCAGCTTCTGCCATCAAGGCCACCTGGAGAACCAAATTTACTCCCAAGGCAAGCTAGACAAAGAGCCACACAAAGTATTTCATCTAAAAAAGAACATCTATCTACACATAAATACAGCTACACCTTGAGAATATACAAGAACCTATGAAGACATCTATCATATGTACCTTGTAAACACAGATGTGCACACACACATCCTCAGGATGGAGTTACGTACCAATATACCTGCTGACACACTGAGAACAGCCCAGGTGGGGACTCACTCAGTCACCCCACACATGCACATCTCAGTCCTGCGCAGGGCCTGCTTGCGTCAGCCTGCACGTGGGCGAATGCATCCGAGACGGGGTCTGTTTCACAGTCACAGGTGGACTACCTTCATGGCTCTGCTGCCTGTGGTAGTAGAAGCAACAGGATGGCTGTGTGCAAATGCTTTCATCCTGCTGCCCAGTCAAAACATCCTGCAAGTCAGACGCTGCCTGCACACTGACAGTCAGGCATGGCTGGCATTGTCATTAGCACCACACGCCAGCCAGGGATCGGGAGGGAAGCAGGTGCTTTCTAACGTGGCTCTGAAAGGTACAGCTACTGCTCTAAGCCAAGGGGAAGAGGACAGACACAGCAGCAACAAACCACAGGAAGACACCAAGCATGCCAGGAAAAAGGCTTTTTAAAAATGTGACCATTCTTGAGTGTGCAGGGAAAAGGCCTCTCACCAAATGCTCTTTGGGGAGATAAGTGGGCACATGGGTCCTAGAATCCAACGGTGTGTGCTCAAGCTGCTGATGTCGCACAGACCTTACAGCTCTGCAAACTAGGAGTTTGTCTTAGGGAAACAGGTAAGGATATCAGGAGAAAGCCCATCCAGAGTTACTTATAATAATGGGGCGGAGGGTGTCAAATTTATTTGTCAAATGTCTCCTTTTTGTTTTGTTCTGAGATGCTGTTGAAGCACTCAGACTATATCCATGCAGTAGAATACTATATAAACATCAAAATGGTGCTATGTTTTTCCAAAAATGAGATGAGCAGGCGGTGGGATGTGTGCGTGTCTGTGGAAGCACCAAGCCCATGTGCACAGAGACACAGACACCCACACTCCCAACATTTAGCCACGTAGACTGCTTTCAACTTCTGCTCAGAATGTTTATTTAAACTTCTTGTTAACAGAGTGACAAAATCCAAGGACTAATGGTGCAGATTTTAATTTTCAAACTCTGCAGGAGTTCATGGAACCAAAATAAACAGTCCACCTTAAAAGATTCACTGTGGACAGAATGGCCGGATTCCTGCCAGAACAGAACCGAGTCTGCTTTCAGAATCTCACGGAAAGCACGAAGGTGACATCCTCCAGAGAAGCAGTTTTCCTGCTTTCTGAGTTGGTGCCTGTTATTTACCTCAGCATGACAACCGCGACCAATGACATCTACAACTGGCTTTGCTCTTAGCTGCTCGGAGCTGGGCCCTGGGATCAAATTCAGCTGTTGTAGCTTAGGTTTTCACAGTCACTCTCTTGGCTCTCAGGGCTTACCCCACCCTGGCACTTCCATTTACAATGCGACTTCAGATGGAACTGGCACTGTAATCCACTGTAGGATCGAGAGCCCAAGGGCCTGACTGCATTATACGCATCTCAGGGGACCTAACACACTGCCCTCTTCACGGGGAGGCAGAGGCTGGCCCTGGCTCTGCCACTGCCTCTGCCCCATGCAGCTGTACTCACATGTAAACTGGGGTGGTAGGTCAGCACGCCGTTGTCGCACAGGGTGACGTACTTCTTTTTCCACTCCTTGTTTAGTGACTTGCCACTTCGCTTCAGCAGCATGCCCTGCAGGGAAGAGGAACCAGATGTGAGATCCCATGAAAGTGGTATAAGACACAAAGGGATCCAAAAATAAAAAATAAAACCTTTCTTAGGTTTTGCATTTTTTGAGATTAACCTTTTTCTTATATATAAATTTGGGTTTCCCTGCCATATTCAACATTACAGGAGATTTGGAAGTTGAACTTTGCTCTAGATGCTGAAGATCCACCATTGGCCAACAGCTGCAGTAGACATCCTGGGTGTCCATCAAACTCCCGCAGAACTGAGTCATAGCAAGTGGGAGGTGCCTAACGGAAGGATGGTCCTATTCTTTGCTTGTTGAATCCAGGGCCTTGTATATTCGAGGAAAGTACCCTACCACTAAGCCCCGGCCCCGGCCCCATATATTAAAGACAGACCTCAAGATCAAGGATCTTCTCACCTCAATTTTATAAACACAACAACTTCATGTTATAATTTCTTTACAGAATTTTAATTTATTCAAACTGAAATTCCATTTGCAAACTTTGGTAACAACACTGGGTGGGTGAGCTGTAATTCACCTCAAATGGTTTTTAATGACGTCCATTAAGGTCTCTGGGAAAGCTTTCAGAAACTGGAAACTAACATATTTTGGAAGTCACATGTGGCACCGCCTTCTCTGGATGGCTGCTGTGGATGTGTTCCTGGTCTAAGTGCCAATTCCCAACAAACCTTGCCTCCACTCCAGTTGCAGCTTTTATGCCACGGTTGCCCACTCCTGTGCATTCCAATTCTGTCCATGTGCAGTGAGCAAACCTCTTGTCCAACAATCAACTGTCATAATTCTGACAATAGCCGGGAAGGCATGTACCTAACACTAGCTAATTCAGCCAGACTTAGGAATCAAGAAATTACAGGTTCCCAAATACACCTTGTCTGCATGGGGACACAGAGGAAACCTTCCTTCCCTACATTCCTGATCCTACTCTTCCCCGGGGATCTCAGTGTAGGAGAAGATCAAGTCAGTCTGAACACATGGCAGGAAGGAGCTCACATACCAATCACCAACACTGTGAGAATATAGCTGTGTTTACTCAGATCATAACCAAGCTTTAAATCCCAGCGTGGGGATCTCGCCCATTAGTACCTGTTACTGGGAGATTCGAACATCCCACAAAGAAACCTTTGGAAGGTCACTGCTCTATAGGATTTTATCGTGTTAAGAAAGCATGTGGAAAAAGTGACATGAAAAATGTTTCTGCTGTACACCAAAGCAACAGAAGCTCCCCTGTGTGGTACAAACAGGCGATAGTGAGTCACCCCCACAGACACAGTAATAAACCTTGGAGACCTCGTGTTCCCTCCCCATGGAAATCTCCCGTTCTTACCCAGCAACACAAAGCCACACCCAAGTTCTCCAGTGGGCTCACATTTTCCCATCATCCACTTCAGATGGAATTTCGACAATACAGAGGGCTGGGGGTCACTGCAATGTCACCAGAAGATTAGGGCTACTGCAGGCTTCAGAAGGCCGTGTCCCTTCCTGCTCCAGCAAGCGCCCGCAGATGGCTAACAAGACTCCTTTGGGAGGACCGTGGGCACTTTTATGAGCCAGCCCTACACTCCTCATTATCCTTCCACCAGAGAAGGCTACAGAGGAAAAGAGGAGAAACTGGCCAGATGGGAGGCGCGCAGAGGCTCATAGAGTTTATCTGAGAACTAAAAGAGTGATCCAGTTTTTAAAAAAAAAAAAAAAAGAATTTTTTGTTTAACATTCATTTATTTATTATGTGTATGTATGCCACAGTGTGTGTGTGAAGAGTCAGAGGGTGTGTGTGTGTGTGTGTGTGTGAAAGAGAGAGAGAGAGAGAGAGAGCGAGAGAGCGAGAGAGCGAGAGCGAGAGCGAGAGCGAGAGCGAGAGAGAGAGAGAGAGAGAGAGAGAACCTGTGAGGACAGTTTGCAAGAATCAGTCCTCTCCTTTTACCATATGAGATCCGGGGACTGAACTCAGGTCGTCAGGCTTGGCAGCAAGAGTCTTTACTTGCTGGGCCATCTTACTGGTTTCAGAGTAATCTATTTTCATGCTAGGAAAATATTACCAGAAGGAAGACATGAATATTGACCATCATGAATAAATCCTAATGCTCCTTGGAAGACACTGTTGGCTTATTCACTGAAGAGTAGGTGGGCCTGAAGAACACTGACCTGCCCAAGGGCCACCTCTTTCAGCATTCCTGCCTTGACCACTGCCTTAACTATGTATCCTTCCACCTTCGCCCTTCAAGGTTATGAAAGGGTCTGGAAGCCCCTCACCTTCTTCCTGTACACACGTCCTAGCTGTAGCCAGCAAGTCCTTAAAGTGGCCCAGCACCTGACCTCCCAGAGCGCTGGCTGACTCCTTTGCTCCCAACCAAACACAGGCCAGAGGCAGCAAGGCCAAGGGACACAGGCTCCCTTGTAGACAAGACTGTGGGCCACATAAAGACAAGCGTACAGTGAGGTGGCAGGCCTCCTATTCCTGCCATTGCATGGGGCTGTGAATTCTACAGTTCTCAGCTACGGTGAACAACCTGCTCTCACAGCAAAAAATGAAGGGCTAGTACCTGGTGTTCTCAATGGGCACCTGTGACAGGGGTTCCCTCCAGAGCAATGTTTAAACAGATCGGCACCTCGGTATTTCTTGAACTCCACAGTTTCCAGAGATGCTCTGAGGCTACCAAGAATTTCCAGCTTAGCCAAGGATGGGGCTTCCTTTTCGGGTGGCCTGGGGAACCCTGTCTGACTCTCAAATTTCTACAGAATATAATGTATTCAAGTTGGGCACCTTGGTGCAAACCTTTATTGCCACACCAGGGTTGGAAAAGCAGTCAGACGTCTATGAATTCAAGGCTAGCCTGGTCTACGTAGCTAGTTCTTTTTATTAATTAATTAATTAAAGATTTCTGCCTCCTCCCCGCCACCACCTCCCATTTCCCTCCCCCCTTCCCCATCAAGTCCCCCTCCCTCATCAGCCCGAAGAGCAATCAGGGTTCCCTGTCCTGTGGGAAGTCCAAGGACCACCCACCTCCATCCAGGTCAAGTAAGGTGAGCATCCAAACTGCCTAGGCTCCCACAAAGCCAGTACGTGCAGTACTTAGATATTATCTCAAACCAAACCAAACCAAAAATAAACAAACAAAACAACTCCTACAAACAACAACAACAAAAACCCTCAAAAAAACACATGTTCAGAGTGAGCAAAAGCATGGCCACCACTCTCAGCTGCAGAAAATGCAAAGACACTCCTTAATCTATACTGCAGTTGGCTGCAGAGAAAGAGGCTCTGTAGGTTACCCTGAGAGCAGGCAGGAAGCATCCATGACCAGAACACTTCCCAGGCAGGGGGAAAACTGATGGGTTTGGTGGGCGTAAATCTCAACCTACAAGCAAACTCAGGGACCAGTACTGGGCTGAAGAAGTGGGATGGCCAGACATGCTGAGAGTCTGCAATGAGGACAGAGCAGTGCATATTACCACTTTGTGTGTGTGTGTGGAGGGATGACAGCAGTCAGGGGGGAGGCGGCCTTGTTGTGTCCGGATGTCTGCTTGGTACAAGAAACACCAGACTTGCCTCAGAAAGCTCCTTAGCTAGAAATATTGGCAACAGCTCAGAAGCTTTGCACACAGAACACAGGCCTCTTTGCTCTGTCTGCGGGATGACCACAGGAGGGATGGCTGCCCGAGACTTGAACGCAGGAGTGAACACCCCTGTGAGATAACATGTACCAGGAGTGTTGAGGCAGGGTAATTCAGCCCTGGGTAACAGGCTGCACAGGAGAACTGTAGACAACACTGAGGTCGCTGTCCAACACACAGCAGCAACTTCCTTGGATAGAACAGGTCTGCAGAGCACAGAGCCCCAGAGAAGGCCCAGCTTGATAACCAGTATGTGACTGGCCATTCGGGGACACCCTGTGGCCATATCCTGGACCACACTAGGCTGTCACTGGAAGGTCTAACAAACACAAGCCATTTGTGCTTTGAGTGTCACCTGGCCTGGGGAATTGTAAAATGTGAAATGGGTACGGGGACCGTTTTCCAGCACACAGACACAGAAGCATGGCACAGTGAGGCCACAAGTAGTCTAGATTATAAAACAACCTTAAAACAAAGAGCGATCTTCTTAGCAGCTACGTACAAAGGCCGCAGGAAGACTTGGTGTGGATCCTTACACCTCAGGACCAAAATCCTGGTCCAGGGTTCTATTGCAAAGCTCCAGTTTCCAACAAGTCCTAGTGTACCTCTTAGGCCCATGTCAACAACAATTGTTCCCCTAAACTGTTTCTACTTTATAAGGCCATGTTCATTTGATGGAGTAGAATTAAAGTCACTAACAGACCCCAAGTGAGGACACCTGGCCTTCTAAACAGCCATAAGTTAAACCATAATGTTCTGTATGTACTCGGAGGGTAAGGCACACAGTCTCTACTGTGGTCCTCCAGGCTCTACTATGACACAGTGGTTAGGGAGTCCCAGAACGGACAAGGCCATGCTCTGCCAGCCGGAGCCCTCACACATCTCTAGCAACCAAGACAGAGGCAAGCCATGAAACAGTTCATTTTACACTTTCAGAGGACACAAAGCCACAGTCCTGACAGCCAGGAGATGACAGAGGCCGGAAGGCTCCTGGCTGTCTAGACACAGGCGGGCGGCTCCCGTCAGCGCGTGCAAATGGCCCTTATGATTCTAAGTCTCTTTGAGTAGCTGTAACCTAGGGCAAAACTGCACGGCAGAATGTCAAGATGCATCCTTCGTCCATCTTTCAGATGCCAATCTGGTACACGTGAAGACAATGCTTGTTTAGATGGTTCTCGCCGACTAGCATGGCCATCCATTTGTGAATAGTTCATTTCACTCACAGTGGGCTGCAGTATTAATTTGGATGTTTTTAGGTTTCAGGACATTACTGAGCTTCATTCAAAAAATAAGTTTGCTACCTGCACATGCAACCGTGAGTCTACAGAAAGCCAAAACATGCAGGCATTTGCTGCGAAACATCATT